TTTGTCAATTTTGTTGATTCTTTCAAAGAACCAACTCTTGGCTTCATTGATTTTTTTGTATCATTCTCTTAGTCTCCGTTGAATTGATTTCTGCTCTGATCTTTATAATGTTCTCCCTTGTATGAGCTTTGGGTTTGTCCTGCTCTTTTTCTAGAAGCTTGAGGTTCAGCATCAGGTTGTTTAATTGGGCTCACTCTGTTTTCTTTATATGAGTATTCACTGCTAATTTTCCCTCATAAGACTACTTTCATTGTGTCCCATAGATTGCAATATGTTGTATTGTCATTGTCATTTAATTGTAGGAACTGTCTGATTTCTTCTTTAATTTCCTCTGTGACCCATTGATTATTCAGAAGTGTGTTGTTCATTTTCCATGTGTTTGTGAAAATCTTGCAGTTTGTTTCGCTATTGATCTCCAATTTCAATGCACCATGGTCTGATAATATACAGGGTAAAACCTCAATTCCTTTGCACTCACTGAAATATGTTCTATGAGTGAGTATGTGGTGTACTTTGTAGAAGGACCCATGTGCATCTGAAAAGAATGTGTATTCTGATTTTGTGGGGTGGAAGACTCTGTAAACATCTGTTAAGTTCATTTGTTCAAGAGTTTGATTGAGATCTAGTATTTTGTTGCTTATATTTTGTCTAGTTGATCTATCTATTTGTGACATTGGGTATTGAGGTCCCCCACTACTGTTGTATTAGTGCTTATTTGATTTTTCATGTCTGTCAGTATTTTTTTTATATCGTTGGGTGCGCTAGTGGTTGGTGCATAGATATTTATGATTGTCATCTCTTCCTCATGCATTGTTCCCTTTACAGGGATGTAGTGTCCGTCTTTGTCTCAATCAGTGTGGGTTTGAAATCCACTTGGTCTGTAAGGAGGATAGCTACTCCTGCTTTTTGGGGGGTCCTGTTGCATGGAGTATTGTTTTCCACCCTTCAACTTTCAGTCTATGAGTTTCTTGTTGAATTAAGTGTGTTTCTTGTATGCAGCATATTGTTGGATCTTGCTTCTTGACCCATTTTGCCTCTCTATTTCTTTTGATTGGTGAATTGAGACCATTAATATTGATGGTTATAACTGATATGTGCTGACATCATCGTCATGACTTTTTTTTTTGTTGGATTCTCCCCCTTTGTCATGCCCAATGGATTCATTCTGTTGGGCTTCCTGGGGTTGTGATCCTCACTGTCTTTTCTTAGCATATTGTCTAAAATTTTTGGAGTGGTGGTTTGGTATTCATGAATTTCCTGAGGTGCTGTTTATCATGAAAGTATCTTATTTCTCCATCCATTTAGAAAGATAGTTTTGCAGGGTACATCAGTCTGGGTTGGAGGTTGTTTTACTTTAGAACTTGGAATATGTCACTCCAAGCTCTTCTTGCCTTGAGGGTTTGTATTGAAAAGTCTGCTGTGATTGTGATGGGCTTTCCTTTGTATGTGATTTGTTTCTTTTCTCTAACTGCTTGTAGAATTTTGTTCTTCTGTTGGGCTTCTGGAATCGTAACTATTATATGGCTATGTGTGGATTTTTTTTGATCAAGGCTATTTGGACTCCTATATGCCTCACTTATCTGTATGTCAAGTTCTTTTCCCCTCCTTGGGAAGTTTCCTGCCATCACTTCTGTGAAGAGTTTTTTTTATGTCATCTGCACTCTCTCTTCTCTGCTTCTCAGTGCTGGGGGTTGTGGTATGACAGCCTAAAAGGTTCATCTCCTCTGCTCTGGGGGAAGCTCTGCTCTTTGCCACTGGGAGCAACTGTCACATTTATAATCACCTACTGTATTCTTTCCTATGTTCCA